CCGTTTTCACAGTAATACTTTGAGACAGGCCCACGGAGTATCGAACATTAACGTGACTTTTCATCAGTATGTCGTTACCATCGTGATTTTGCCTTGTCTTTATTCCATCTGGTCGTCCGCTGTGTTGCAGAAATATTGTTTTTCGTTCCTTCTCCTTGCTAATGGCTCGAGTAAGTCAGCGCAGCTAAGGTACGCAATGGTTATCTAGCTTCTATTCTCTTAAACTCCATCTGCGTCTAGTAGTTACTTTATTTTTGGCCAATTTTAGTGCCTGTCTAAATGCTAAGCTGCTGCTACTACCTGCTCCGTGTTTAGCACCTTCTGTTTCAAAAGCGAAACATCGGGCCTTCTCCTTACAATTTTTCTTACGGTGATTGCAGCTGCCACATTAAAAGCCAAGTTTCGAACGGTCATTCTTGTTGCAGTTCCAGGCTATGCGTCCATACCCCAGACATCGGTAGTATCTGAGGACTTCAACCCATCTCTTTACTCGGCAGCTTGTGAAACCTATTAGCAGCCTCTTCATTTCTTATGATTCAAGGTTCAGCACTTACTGCTTTACGATCAAAGCCTCAACTATCAAGTTGGTAGCTAATCTAAGCTTAAACTCAGAAATTTTGGAAACAGTGGTCATCTCCTTACACTCAACATCTGCAGTCGATATCAAAATGGCATCGCCCAGCACACAATATACAGCAAGGTTTATTGGTGCTTATATCTAGTGAAACTCTACCACCCGGTTTGTGTCCTGTGGACAGAGTGGTAAAAACTCATTCAAAAAGAGATAGTCCCACGCGGATAGTTACACTCAAGACAGCGACATCAACAATACAACGTCCATTTTATAAGCAAGCGATTATTTCAGTGTATGATTCAAGTCAACATACTGTTGACGGCAGGCGGAAATTTTCAGAATCTTAAAAGCAGCAGTATTATTTCGAATGACAGTCACTTTTTCAGAGTAGATGTGATGACAGCGCTGCACGGCTCATAAGTTACAAGTGTGACTAACTTTAAATGTTTTCTAGTTGCGCGACCTTTTCTAACACTCTAGCGTATGTGATTGGTCTGCTTTTGCTGTTTGCTCGTTTTTGCATCACCTACCGTTATGTATTCTTACAGTTTTTAATTAGTAACTAGCTCTCAGTGAGTAAAACTCAAGCCAGTTATTTTTGACTAGTCATCAAATAGTTAATACTTAAAATCATCTCAGTCATTATTATAAGCTAGTTAATCGTAAAATATATTAAATCAGTATCAATAATATACTGTTTAAGTTGATATGTTCGTGAAGGAAGTTTCATACAAAAAATCCTTTGGTTAAATTTTTTTGTTAACTTTTGTATTCCTTGATAAGTAACCTTATCAATATTACTGGTCGTAGTTTTAGGTTGGTCTTCAAAAACTTCGTCGTTTGAACCTTCACTAAGTGTAATGGATGTAACGGAGATTTCAGTATTTGTTGCTTCTGAGTCTGAGTAAGTATCTGTATTTGAGTCTACTTCCGTTTCGGTCAATTCTTGTCGTAATCCGCTTCATCTAGGGTCATATACTGGTGGTTGCATATCTTCTCCTGACGATTCTTTAATATCACTTGGATCATTTTCCGAAAACATACTTGTCCTTGACGATGCAATAAGATTAATTATATCTCTTACTGGTAATTATGGCATTTCCTTATTTTTTAAACTATTTGGTTTTATTCTGGTCGTTTTTGTATTCATATCACTAGCGTGTAATGTGGCAGCTACTGATTTAAAAAAACTCACTTTTAATGAGCTAGAATCTTTTCATGGGTTTTTAGTGGTATTTCTTACCATACTTGGTCAAGATGTAGATGATGTCTGTGGTTGTGAAAATGTTTTTTGGGTCCTGATAGGACCGAAAAACATCTTTTATTTACTTTTAAATTTTTTTATCACCTTTTAATCATCAAATAAATCTAAAAAAATTCATGAGTGTATGGTTTTACATAACTTTGAAATTTTTTTTTTTTAATTATTGAAGTTGAAACTAACCTTGAAACAAATTATTTTATGTTTCAAACGCTATCTTGGCCAGGTTCCATTACACCTTTATAAAATTGTATTCTCTTATCTTGAAGAACATCAAATGATAAGTATAAAACGTACTTTTCTAGATTTTTTTCAGTGGCGTACCATGTGAAAAAATGCAAAGAACTGTTAGTTTAACTTCAAGGGACCTTAAACATAACACTTTCTCACGGCCCATCTTTTTTCTCACGTTCTTATCATAAAATAAATCTGAAAAAATTTGTGAATACAGAGTTTTATATTACTTTTTAATAAAGTTTTTTTTTTAACTATTGGAGTTGAAAGAAACTTAAAAAAAAAATCATTTTAACTGTAAAATCCTATTTTGGCCAGGTTCTATTATACCTGCACAAAATTTTATCCTCATATCTTGAAGAGCGTCAAATAATAAATCGAAAACGTGCTTTTTAAAATTTCTTTCAGTAGTGCGCTATGTTCCAAAATGTAAAAAACCGTTATTTTGACTCCAACAGACTTAAAACTTTCTCACGTATTATTTTTTTCTCGCTTTCTAACTATCAAAAAAATCTGAAAAAATTTGTTAGTATACAGTTTAACATAACTATTTAAAATAATTTTTTTTTTGATTTTTGGAGTTGAACATAACCTTGAAAAAATTTTTTTACCTTTAAAACGCTATTTTGAACAGGTTTTATTATATCTGCACAAAATTTTATTTTCTCATCTTGTAGAGCGTTGAAAATCAAGTCGAAACTATATTTTTTGAGATCTTTTTAGTAGTGCGCCATGTTTGAGAATGCAAAAACCGTTTTTTACTTAACTTTGATTTTTTTCCAACTAACATCCCATCTTCAATAGTGTAAACATGTCTATTTAATACAAAAATGAATAACTTAAGGTTTCGTAAGAAATAATAGTAAAACACTATACGGAGGTTTAGAAACTCTGCTAAGACCTTGCTGAAAAATCCGTTTAATTTTTTGATTTATGATAGTGACGTGGTGTGCTGTTTGTCACTAATATTTTTTGCAATACAGATATACGATAACATCAGTTTGTCGTAACAATATAGGCATGATACATGTATTCAAGGTAGGTCCATGCGCATGTTTACCTGAATCGTCCAATCAGGCGCCCGTATAACATTATATCCAATTAGGTGTCGAGCCTATTCGACGAGATCCAACATTCCAATGTGATTTCAATGGTATTTTGTCTCCTGATACCACGGATAAAGATCTAAAAGTAAAAGAACTACAAATGGTGGAAGGTGCTATGAATAGTGAAGCAAATCAGCACCACGTGACTCTATTTGCTGCACTGTCCCTCAACCTACTGTTTTACTGGTGAGTTTTTAATTAAAACAACGCCAGTATTAAAAAGAGGACGTAAGACGAAAAAGAGGCCTTTTTTCGGTCAACAGGTGGTCAACAGTCAACATACATACGACATTTACTGCTGGTGGGGCTTAATATGTATAAAAGTAATAGAACAGCATGTGGTGAAAGGTGCTATAAATGGTGGAGCAAATCAGTACCACGTGATCCTATCCGCCACACTGTCTCTTGACCTACTGTATAACTAACAAGTATTCCGCAAGCTCCACCAGCAGTAAATGTCGTATGTTTGTTAACTATTGACCACCTGCTGACCGAAAAAAGGCCTCTTTTTCGTCTTACGTCGTCTGTTTACTACTGGCGTGGTTTGCGAAACACTCACTAGTAATACAGTAGGTCGAGGAACAGTGCAGCGGATAGAGTCACGTGGTGCTGATTAAATGTATCAATACAGTACTCATAAGCTGGCTTTTATGAGGCGTTTGATTCTGTTTGCTCACACTGCCTGGGTCTTATATAAATTTATTATGTGTGAATAAACTAGGGGTGCGGATTTCATGTATCGCGCAGAATACGAATGCTGCGTACTATTACTACATTCACTGCTACTTGCAGTCAGTCTGTCGCATACAACAACTTAAACCCCACAGCTGGAGTCTCTTTGTCTTAATTCAAGAGTGAGAGTTTTTTCTGACACTTTATAGTGATGGATATTTATATCTTTTGGCATCTGCCAGTAATCCAACGGATCCAACACTAGTTTTCCTGAAGTATAGTTGTCTATACCCCATTATTGTTATTATTATTATTATTTTTTTTTTTTTAAGATACTTTTTTTAAGCTGCTCTAGAGCCGGAAGTGAACTGGGAAAAATTGAAAGTTCAACATGCTTTCCCCACTCCGCTCAGTTGCCAAGGATGGATAAGTAGCAAATTTTCCTTGTGATGCAAAACCATCCATATCATAGCTTGAGAAGTTTGTTAAAATGCTAAATTTCTAATTTGAATTCAAAAATTAAGACAGTAGTGTTATAAATCTTTATTTGCCTTTTAAAATGCACTGTCATCGCCCTTCACCTGATAAAAATTCTTTATTATGTTAAAGCAATCTACTTATTGGCTTGAAGCTTATGTAAATGTCAATAAATGCTTTAGATACTATGTGTATCCTAGAAACTGTTAAACACATCAGTTCAATAAGGGTAAAATTGTACTGTTTTTATATTTTTATATCATGACTTCGTGTGCTTTCTATTATTATATTCTGGTATTATTCAGTAACAATGTTGGTGTCAAATATAAACACAATTTTATAAATACACAAAATAATCATACATTTTATACTAGTTTACTGTACATCTATTTTAACGAAAAACAATTGTTTGTCTATTTAATAATTTTGAAATGACATGTTAATAAAAATCACTTATCAAGTAGTAAGACCTTATTTTATTCTAAACATAAGAAAATATTTTTAAGGTTGTTATAAATGCAAAGCAGCCTAAAAAGCGCATAAAAGTTACAACTTATTCTTTAAAAAAACCATACTAATGGTAAAGCTCATGTTTTGAGATATAATAATCTGTTACAATAGTTGTAACCAATAATGTCTAAAGATGTGTTAAGATCTTAAGGAATTAAACGTAATGTTTCATGAATATTTTGTTTAGAATATATTGAGATTATTTTTATACAAAAACATATTATTCAGTTAGAATCCAATAAATATAAAAAAAAAAGATATTTGGATACTTTTTTTATTAAACATCCAAAATAATGTTGTGTAATTTTGTATCGAATTTTTCTTGATTTGTAGGTATAGGCTCTTAGAATGATGTTAGAAATAGTATTTTTTTTTAATTTAAATTGTAGACTTGTTTTTATATTGATTTTTTTTTTCAGATCAAATGCTTCATTTCTTCAAGACCTTAAATCATTGGCTTGATTTTTATTCGTAAGTCTAAAGAGTTCCTGATTATGAGGAGTGTATTAAAGACGACGTCTTGTTCCAGGAATAATCTAATCTCATTGTATATTCAGATTGAAGGTGTCCCATATACTTCATTAGTATAAATGTTTTGACTGCTGTCATTTTGTTTTGATGTACACTGCTGAAACACAAAATATGAAAAAGCTTGTATTGCAGTCAGATGTCTCTAAATTTAATCGCATGCATAAATTCGAAAGCATGTAAATCCAAGAATCTTACACAAAATATTGTTGAAAACTTCATTCTATATAATGTTATAAAATAAGTATTATTTCAAGGAAGATTTTCGAAGTAATACCGTGATTTGTTAGGAAGGTGTCTTTTTTTAATCCTATGTTTAAAATGAGTAATTGTAATTTATTTATTACGTTGTTTCATTTCTGTAGCATATTGTACCTAAAGAAATATTGTGTTTTAATCTTGTAAGTATATATTAACTAAGAAATACATTAATTGCGATTTCTTTAGATTCATCAAATATTTTTTTTAAAATAAGTTTACTTTTTGTAACGGGCGGTTAATACTCAAACGCCGTTTACACTCATCTAGACTGTGCGAGGAAGAAAGGCCAGAGAGAGAGCGAGAGGGGAAGGGAGCGTTATAATTCTTGCGAAAGAGAGAGAGAGAGAGGAGAGACAAGCGTCTTGATATGAGTATTAGCGAGGGACGCTCTTAGCCATTAGGCCAGAAGAGATTAGGTATAGGTAGAGAGCGCGCGGTGGCTCGGTCGGCTAGGTCGTGGATCGGCGCGCGGGAGACCGTGGTTAGATTCCCGGCCAGTGCGACTTTACGGGCAAGTATCTCTGTGAAAATCATATGTGCTTTTTCACCACGCAATGCTCCTGGAGGAGGGTTTAGGCGACCTTCTCGCAGCAAAAATTGCCTAATTTCCCCCTACCCCCCTCCTAGTAATGGGAGGCCTTCCATCCCCTTCCTTGTCCCTTTCCCAAGTGCTAAGTGCCCACAGTAGTGCCCTTATTAAAAGGAGCCAGACGCACTATAATATAAAAAAAAAAAAAAAAAAAAAAAAAAAAGGTATAGGTAGGGTAACCACGTGTGCGTCTCTCGCCCGCTACGTTTATCAAGCCACGAGAGGACAACCTCGCCATCGCCTCGCCCACTCCTGCAGACACATACCTACGTAGAGAAGACTTACCAGCTAGACACCAGGTGGAGCATTCCTGCTGAGAGGCCAACTGCTAGGCGAGCAAGTGTAAATAAGAGGCTGCGAAAAGCCAGGTAAGCGCAGTGCGTGCGCGAGAATCATAATAGCCGCGTAATCTCTCTCTGTGCCCGGTCGAATTATCGTAGGCCGTCGGCCCCGAGAGGAAAGCCTTCCTCGACCGTACAGGCTTTGCCGTCAACGCGATCGAGCGAAATACACACACACACACGCGCGCGCACGTATGCTTTTGTACTAGTGCAATTAATATAGTTTCCGTTCTTTTGATCATTAAATGTTTGTTTTGCTTTGCGTGAGCTTTCCTTGCACGAAGCCCTTCCGGCTACTCTTTCTTTACAGGTTTTATATAGCAATCTTGGCGTCCAAAAGGGAGCTGTAAGCCGAGCATCAGCCTTATCCTGCCGCTTCCGCGGTCTCGCGCGTAAACACCAACGCGCGAGTGTCCTGAGCTGAGCCAGAGCTGAGCTGGCCCCTCAGCAAGCAGACGTGAACGAGGAAAAGTGGACTTGTTGTCCGCGTTGTAACGCGAGTGTGTCTCCGTGGGTGCCCAGAAAACACAGTCCCGGTCAGAGTATCCCTAGTACTAATTTGTGGCTATCAGTGCCATAAGTGAATACGGACACCCCGTTACATTTGATAGAAGTCAAGATTAGTTTTTGTAAAATAAATGTCAGACATATTTTCTGACAAGATTGAGAAGATAAATTTTAAGTTCACGGGGAAGGCAAAGAGAGCTTTGACGGCTTTTACACAAAAGTACAGGAATGCCGAGAGTTCGTCAACCTTTCGGACGACGAAATGCTTCGAGCAGTCCCCGCGCTTTTAAGCGACAATGCGCTCCTCTGGTTTCGCAACGAGAAATGGAGATCGAGAACCTGGGCAGAATTTGTGACCGCAGCGAGAAAATTATTCGACATTGGCAAGGGTTTGCAGCACAAGCTGAAACAGGACACGCTAATGCGCCGACAATACGACGGCAAGCCAGTACGGGGCTACCTTACGCAACTTACGGCGATGTTGCGTCGATTAGACCCACCGATGGATGCAGAAGCAGAAGTCGATCTGCTTGTTGCCAATATGAGGCCGGAACTGCAGCTGTGTATTAAGCGGCATGAGGTGCGCGACTCGTGGGACCTGCAAACTCAAGCCGTGGAGGCCGAACGGCTGCTAGAGGTCAAAGAAACCTTTCAGGAACCTCCAGCGCCAGAGTATTTTGCGCTACCAAATTTAGCCTGTATAAAAATAGTACCAGTGTCAAAGAAACCTAAGCCATCCCCAAAAATAGGTGCCGTAGATGCGAAGAAAACGGCCGACAACCCAAAAATCTTGAGCATGCTACAGAAATTAGTTATCGAACAAGAAGCCAACAGACGCACCAATGAAAAATTGCTGCAACAACTCTTTCGGGCAAAACAAAAAAGAAATGACTCCGGCCGGAAGGGTGACAACCGAGAGAACAAAGAGGTAGAACAGCAAAAGACAACGCAACCAAGAAAAGAAGAGGACACGACAGTTAAAAGCCAAGGCGCCAAGGGCGTGGCGTGGCGTCAGCGGAACGCACGNTTGTTAGATTTGGTGGTTTTTAAAAAAAGTGTATCCTTACGTGTGACAGAAGTATTCAAATTAAAAAATGTTACTTAACCTAAATAACTTTCAATGCGTGTAATAAAAAAGTTATTCGATACGAATAACCTATTTTTTGACATTTGGACTTTTAGTGTAATTTCTAAGTTCCGATGTAGCTATGTAATTGAAGATTGATCCCACGATTTGTAATGGATCACTAAGTGTGAGCACTCCATTTTCCACCCGAGTTAAGACGGAATGCATGAGTGGAAATGACTGATGAGGCTATTTTTTTGTTCAAAGGCTAAAATAATCACCTTTTTTCGTCTCAACTCCTATCCAAATTTATCAACAATCTATTGGTGCTACTGATTGCCGATCTTGGGTACGCTGCTCACCCAAAGCGGGAGAGCAGACGGCCCAAACGATTGGTGGCGCTGCTCACCGTAATCTTAGTAATTATGCTCGCCTAACTCTTGCGCCCTCTGCTCGACCAAGGCTTGGTGCTGCTGCTGACCTATCTTGGGTGAGCTGCCTACCCAAAGTAGCTTCATACATTTGTAAACCCCCACCTTTCTTTTATACCTTTCTATTTCCTGAAGTCTGATTTTTATTATAAAAAACTTCTTTTGATAACTCAGAGAATATAAATAAGTCTACGAATAGATAAAGCGTTTTTCAAAACTGTCAAATGTAAAAATCAATACATTGTGTAAAGTGGTCAGTGGGTACTTAGATACTTAAGTATGAAGTTATACTTTTATAACAGATAATATATTCATAAAAATATTAATAAATAATACATCCAATAACAGTTGATAAATAATTAAAAACAACGTCCAATAGTGGGACTGTCTTATTTTTGTATTTATTGAAAAACAAAACCAATGTTTTGGCTGTTTGGAGAACGTCTCGGCTGTCATCTACCATAAGCTATGAGTAATATGAAATATTCTTTATAATGCAAATTCTGATGGAATACAATAAATGCACATTAAGTTAAATGTATAAAATACCTTTGACTCACACAAAAAGGATGTTGAATCGTAATGTACAAAGAGTTTTAAGTGTAGCTGCTTTTATACTCTGCACATACACAAATGACATAGTTCACGCACGCAATACAATCAAATAAGAATCGCAGGAAGTTCGTTGTTAGAAGCATAAAAACAGTTTATGTCTTTCAAATACTATAAACTGAAAGAGGCCCCCCCCAAATCATATAAATCAAGTTTATCTTCTTCCCTAATTGACTGAACAAGAGACTTTTAACAATTTTTCATTTTCTCTGTATTTCATTTTCTATTAATATTATTATTAAATTAGTGTACGTTTAAAATTTCAGAAAAAGGCGTTTTCTGTAATTTTTTCTGTACCTTAACTTTTAATTTTAATCAAAATAAAAGTTCTGTGCAAATTCGATGCTGTGTTGTGATAGTACAGGTCTATCCTTTTCTTTCTTTATGTCTTTCTTGTGTTCGGATATTCTTAATAAGGTTTGGGAGTATCATTCAGAGAAGCTCAGAACGGGGAGTCCCCCCTGCCCGCGCATCTGGGCCCCCTTTACCACGCATTTCCTCTTGCACTCTACAAACTTGAAACTGTACGACTGCAACTGCTTATATTTTTGAAGAATGCCTGGCAAGGCTTGATTTTTTCTGTCGAGCATCTTCTTTGTATACAAAGTTATCTATGGAAAGGTTTTTTTTAGTCCAACACATTTAGAATATACCTTAATTTTAATTAAAAGGCAAACCTAACCTTGCTCTCTCTTAAGAGACCGTGTTAAACTGTCAATATTTCATAATTTTTTTCTCTAAAATTTCTCCTGGTAAAAAATCTGGAAAAATGTATGTGCACTTCTAAAATGTTCAAATATATTTTTTTTGGAACTTTTCTCCCAAATCTCCTTAATTATAGAGCTCTCGACGTTTGACATACATAATAGTAGTTGCAATTTGCACATAGTATGCGGTAATCGATGTTTTTTAATCAAGTGGCTCAGTTACATCCTTTCCAAGAGAAAGAATCTAGTTAAACTTGTCATTTAATCTGTAAACAAGACCAATGTGAAGTTTTTTACAATAATATTTAATATGCCTGTGCAAGCAGGGAATATACGGTAATGATAGTATCAAATTGTAATTATTATCATTTTTACTGTGATTATCAATCATATTTGTTTTTTGTAAGGTATTTATTATTTTATTTACTAATTTATCAATCAATTTTTAAAGATAGTTGTTAGCTAGTGAGAGTTTATTAATTAATTTTAAATTATCATCATACTATTAAGTGTCTACTAATTTAATGGGAAAGTCTACTTGTGTGTAAATGATACTGTTGAGAATTTTGAAAGCAGCACTGTTTAT